CAGCAACCCATGATTGTCGTAAGAGGCGACTCACGGGATCGTGTGATCAGACTCGCTGAATTGATTGACACATTCCATCGTATCCCAGTTATGTAGATGGATGCTCATGCTGTTGATCACTGGATTGTCTGGTCCAGACTCGATTATTTACAGACTGCCACCATATAGCTGGTATATTGCTGAGCGTGGTGTACAACTAAACTCACTCACCCACTCACTCAAACGCCTGGTGTGAGTGTCCTTCACTAATGTAGCACAATAGATACACTGAAATGTGGCATGATAGTCTGTTGTACCATTGGCGTAGACAGGAAGACCTGCGCCATCTTACGTCACGGATCCCCTCCAATTTAACATTGCTAACCCTGTCAGTGCTTACATAGATTTTAGTCAGTGTTAGCTCCGCATCTGCCTCAAAATCAAGAATACAGATGGCACGGATGCAGTTCATGATGGCGATGGTGCACTCGCCGTGTTCACGGTGAACGACATGATGCATTCCTCTTACGAGAGGTGTGTGTGCCTGTGGAAAACAATCAGTTGGAAATTACTCCCTCTATGGGAACCTATCCTACCGAGCCTTTTTTAAAACGTGACTAAGTTATGTGGAGGCAGGCAAAAGGACGTATATCCAGTGCCCAGGATGGTATTACAGATGAAATTGGAAAAAACATAGATGACTTTAATGCTATCGCCCAGAATGGCAACGCAGGGCTCCTCCGTTAAAGAAATGAGAATGAGCCGTTCTCGGAAAATACCCAGTTCTAGGAATTCCACATGAGCTGTGAAGTCATCGATGACGTCACAGTTATGCAATGTCTAACGTAAACACAACAGCGGTAGCCATTTGCCATGGGACCGTCACTTTCAAAGAATGGTCTTATGCTCACTCTTCACAGTTAAATCTCGGGATCGCCTTTTAGTGATAGTCACGATCGTGACACGGGGTTACGAAAGAGTGCAAACAATTCCCCAAAACAAATGGATCAAGAGTATGGTGGACAGGAAAGCCCATTGAATGAAAACAACATGTGAGTACGTACCGTTACTGGGCATTGTGTTGCAAACTTTACAGCCACCTGAACCATTTAATAGTAGATACAATGAAATCACAACGTTGCTAAGATCATTAGGTGTGAATATATTGTGATATGTTACAATTATGATGTTACAGTTCATACCGTTTGTAAACAAACGATCAGGGACGCCCCTAATCCTGCATCTTTTGTCAAAGTGTTCTTGTTAGCGGGGAAAATAAACGTTTGAAAAAATGCCAGTCTATCGTTGTTATTATTGTTGTTTGCATTGAATGTACCCATTCTTTTTGAGAGATGGGTGGCCCTGAAAAAGGACCGTTTTGTGGTGTGTACCTCACTCACGGGGACCACAGCTGGGTCATACATTGACATGGGTGAATGCCCAGCATCTGCTTTCACTACACACTTGCATCCATGCGTCAACCGGTAAATATAGGTATCTTTGAGGCTGGTACCACAATAAACACACTTTAGGACTACATCATCGTCACCGCACGCACCCCATCGTCCACGCCACTCTCCCTCCCTCCCTCCTTCTCCTTTCCTCTCCTCTCCTTCCCTTCCCTCTCCGTCCCGTCCCGTCCGCCGCTCGTCCGTTCCGCCATCTTGAAAGGCGTCTACGCTCGCGAGATCCCGCGAGAATCCACCGAATCCACGAGATCCCGCGAGATCCCACCGGATGGGCCGCCCTCTTGAAACGCGTCCGCCATCTTGGCCCGGAGGTGACGTCATCGTCATGCGCGCGCACCCACCGGAACCGGACGTGACGTCATCGCCATGCGTACGCACCCACCGGAACCGGAACCCGAGTGATCTCCCCTGATGGCGGCACATCCGGTCACCGTGGGCGTCGCCATCTTGATCCAAAGATGGCGGCGCCCATGGGGACCGGATGTGCCGCCATCTTGAAAACGACGCCAGGGGTGACCCTGTACACTACTTATATATATATATATATATATATATATATATCACAAACAACCTGAATATATCATAAATAACCTGAACATATCACAAATAATCTGAACATATCACAAATAACCTGAACATATCACAAATAACCTGAATATATCACAGACAACCAGAATATATCACAAATAACCTGAACATATCACAAATAACCTGAATATATCACAAACAACCTGAATATATATGGCAAAGAACCTGAATATATCACAAACAACCTGAATATATATGGCAAACAACCTGAATATATATGGTAAACAAACTGAATATATATGGCAAATAAATGCGTCTATATCAAGTACATTAACTATTGTTAACGCGTACCTATGGTCGACTGGGGGACTAGCTTATAATTAAGACGAAGGAACACGTTGAGGTCAAACATCTTTAGTAAAATAAGTTACGTGACAAACAAACACACAAGACATAAATGAGGTGAGCAGAGTCAGGCTTACCAAAGAAATCTTTCCCACTGTGCAGAAAAACGCAGAATAGTCCACATTAATTGTGGAAATAGCAACATAAACATAATACCTTGCTACCGAAATAGCAAAAACTTTAAAGCGCTAAAACTGGATAAAAACACGAAGAGCCTGCAACTTCGATTTTGCGCATGCGCACATGGAAGAGGAAGTCTCGACGGCACGTTGACATTTTCCAGCTTGGACAAAAGAAACATTCCCCTTTTTAAAGTATTTCTGTTGTGTTATTTGAGATTTATCATCATCATACTTGTGTGCACACTTATTTAGTTTACCTCCCATTCGTATGAAATAATTGACAGCAATTATTTCGACATATGAAAGTTCAACCCCAGGGCGGTTCCTATGAGCGGCATTATCCTGCTCGCGGATGTCCCCGAGCAGGCAGTCGGAATACCGGACTGCTTGATAATATAAATATGAACATATATATAGTTTTTGACAACAATGGACAGGGGAAGACTCAACAATGGACAGATAGAGAAACAATAGCACTTGCAGTTGATGTTATGGCAGACACAGCCAAGGTGGTACACGGTGACAAGTTGCGTCACCCAATTACCTCTACGCTCTCAATTCATGTACACTTTGGGGGGTCAAAAAGTGTAGCGTTAAGGGGGGGGGGCAGCGTTAATAGGGGGTGTCTTAAATAAACACTGTAGATGATGTACACCCTCTCGTGTAAAATGGACTCATTCAATCTGTATGTAAAATAAACAATATAATTTAACTCATAAGTTTACTGCTGGACAAAATAATTTAATTTCTAAATAAATCGCATCTGTTAAAAAGGTATCTTTTGTCATTTACATGGATAGTAACATCAAATGATAATGTAATAGTTTAAGTATGTAAAGTTGCTAAAAATAAAAAATCCATTGTGTTACTCAGAAATCAAGCTCATTCTCATTGTCTATATCCAGTCCCATGTTTCTTCAGAAATGAGCCAATCCCGTTTGTTAACTGGTTGAGTCCACTTGTGCGTAGGGTAGAACTAAACCAAAGTGTAGGGGTACTCAGAAGACATGCATTGATTAAGTGTAAGTGAACTGGGGTGTAGGAGAAATGACAGTGTAGGGGTTATGGGTGTGAACCATCAAGACAATGTACATCGTAGTAGTGGTAAGGATTAGCGTCAGATAAATAATTACAATTAAGTCTAACATGGCTTGGCTACATAGTTTTTGGTCTTTATAAATATTTTGACGATGGCTGTCCCGAATTAGACGCTATGAAACTATGTTTAATATAGTTTTTAGCTTAACTTAATTTTGCGAAATTGTTTTTAGTTTCAGTTTGGGTCACAGGAGCGGATTGAAACACAGAACGGTATTTTAGGCAATGCTGTGCCTAAATTGTGGCTGGGGTATTTGTTTGAACTATGCATCAAAGCTTTCATTTCGAGTGTGGTGGCTTTTTAAAGATCGGAGAACAAGTCCTGATTGATAATTTAACTTTTGATATAAAAATAAACTGCATCACTCGCACCAATAACATGATTGTAGGAACACTGATAGACACGATATCTAATCCTAGTTGTGTAGGGAACACCAATAGAGACACAAGCCGAAATCTACACTACGAGTTAATAGGTTCGTGTAAAACGTTTCAGAGAAACATCGTCTAATCAGTGGTGTCCTTGTCGTGATGGTGGCGATCACCATATGAACGTAAATACTTCGAACAGTGTCATTATTTTGTTACTGAGTGAGCGCTTGGGTGCAGTTGCGCTCCTTTTTCAGCAAATATAACTGCGGAGGAGGTCATTTAGAAAATATCCTAAAATGGCGAAACACTATTTCAATTTGTGTTGTTTTCCTTTCTTCACATTCGTTTGTAATCGGAGTCACTGAGTTGTCTCAACCTATTAAGATTGGTTGTCATGCACAATATTGAACCAGTTGTAGAACCATATCTATGTTATTATGCAAAGCAACATGTAAAGAGCATATAATGGTTGGGAATGGTTTGCGGTATGTCAGTTTTAGCTCAGTTAGTTCTGACGATAGACTGAGAGAATCAGCACTTTCGTTTGCTGACAAGAAGAAAGTCCGGTCACGTGATATGCAAATTAGTCTGTGGCAGTGACGTTAACCAAGTCATCACTGCGCTTGAGTGTGGGACGACCCTCAACAGTACAAAGGGGCACAACTCTTCACAGTCAGTGATCGACCAAAGATCACGTGACTTAGACTCTCCGCTCTCACCCACTCTATACACACCCCCGTGTTTGATCACAGCAAGTGATCCCTAGCAAACTATCTTCACAGGCAGCCACATAACCCAGATCAACACAATAACACAATTTATTCTCCCTCAAAGACTCCACTTTATTGCTTGAATAACACGACTCTTCCGTTTGTGCTGACCGTAGGGCTTTTGACCCCGTTTAGAATGAGATTTGTAATATTTGTGTTTAGTCGATACACGTACTGAATAGACGCAGAATGTTGATCTATTCAATGACATTTTGCTGTTAGAAACGGCAATGGCGCTGTCAGTTGTTATTTGAAAATGTTATGATTAATGACGACAGCCTTTATGTATAAGAGTAATATAGCAACAGAGCATATGTATGTGACTATCTAGTGTCGGTGTGACATGGTATTGGCGTCACATAGTGCAGCACGGTACGTTGTAAAACTGTCGTCCCAGTATCATGACAACTGGCATTCTGTTTTCATGTTGGAATTTACCATGAAGCCACCAAAATGAGTGAAAAACAACCCATATCAAAGGTAGGCAAAAGTGTATCTAAATGTCTACATCCTAACCTGCACATACCCATGTTGTATAGTGGGTAGATATGGAACAAAAAGAGAACGGTTATTCGATATGGCAGTATTCGTTAAACGGATTATAGTTGGGTTGTGCACCCGATGGTTGCTTTGTTAGGTAAAAAACAAATGATAATGTTTGGATGGTTTGAATCAAATCCAGTTTTCTACATGTATGCTATATTTTACACTGCAGTTTATATACATGCATTCCGATAGGCTGTACATTGACCTACAAGCATGTATGATATGTCAACAACATAATAATGTATACAGCCCATCAAAAGTTTAGACTCACTAGTGTCAATGTAGCCACTTACTTCAGGCAACTGTTCTAAACTAGATTTTGCAAAATAGTCCATACTGTTTAAAGGGACTGTTTACACATGAACTAATGTATTGTAAAATAAATTGGTAACGTTGAAAAGATTATTGTCATGAGTTCAATACTCGGTGAACTCGGTGAAAATGAGCGAATTCTTCACAAAACTTTACACCAAAACGCAGCTGTTCACATGCACGATATTTGCACATGCTTTGCAGCATTTTGATGCATGATCCTCGTGCAATTCATCTGCATAAGGTTTGCAGTTCGTTCCCCCAAGTTTAGAGGAAAAATCCATCTTCGATATAACCATATATACATGCATAACATATAGTGAGTGCTTTAAGTGAGTCTAAACATTTGATGGGTAGTATATAAGGTTCGTAATTAATATAAAAAAACGTATCCTAACAATGTCATTATTGATTTAGACGCGACTCTCGTATTCTTACATTAAATTTAAAGAATGTTATTGTTTTTCTCTTTCGGGATGTTATGGGCGTACATATTACTTACAAGCATAACGTATAGCTGCGCGATAATTCGCAAAGATCAATGAAGAACAACTTATTCACGATAATACAGTATTCTTGTCAGGGCGTCATTTCTGAAGATTCTAACAAATGCCAGCAAATTAACTACGTCATATATTGGACGATGCTGTTGTGGTAGTGGTGAGATGTTCCACGTAGTACTGTAGTACCTCTGTAAACTGTTGAACTTATTATGTAAATGCCCAGTTTCTGAACTGCTTCATTAATACCATTTACGAATTTCTGTGATATAATATTACATGTTTTATAGTTGTGGTGTTTGTGAGAATGCTCAGTGAATATCAAATTTAACCATCTTTTCATACCATGGAGTTGCCCGACAATGCCGAGATTGGATTGTATTCAGGGATTTGCCCGACTTGGATTGCAGTCATGAAGTTGCCTGACATTGCCGAAATCGGGTTGTATTCAGGGGACTGTCCAATATTGGCGAGACCGGATTGTATTCAGATACTTGAAAATACGGATAACTATTTTTGAAGCTTGTTAATTTTAGTAACATCCCGAAAGAAACTGTAAACATTGTAAATGTTGATATATGTAAGAAGTCAAGTTGAGGTCGCTGTTTATGGTGCAATTAAACAATATAAGGAGAATAAACTCAGGGGGCTGCGCGCATTGTTATATTCTGCCTGCAGTGTTTTCTTACTCTAAGGGGAACTACCACTCGGAGTTTATTTCGTAAATAAATATATAGAACATCATCTTTACTGCATGCCAAGCAAAGTGTAGCATGCTTTCTGAACGTATGATCTGAAGAGGTATATATGTATTTGCCATCCTTCTCCCACATTCCACTCTCAACATTACCAACAGATTACACCAGTGTTTATTATCAACACAGCACGCTGCTCGCTGATACTTCAGGAAAAGTATGGATTTAAAACTGAAGCCGATACTAGTTTCATCAAACATGCTCAGAAATGAACCTTGGTGTTACATTTAAAGGGGATGAGAACAGCGGACGTCTGGCTTTGCGGGGATGATTGATGGAATTCTTTCAGAAACTTTCTATTATGCATTGTCTGTTTTTCAAAGCATTCAGGATACTAACAGTAACCCGAGTCTTTGGTCACTGCGACCAATCTTGTCACTGGTATAAAGTCTGTCTTAGTCTGGACGGTGAATGGGCAACGTGCCGTTGAGTTAAGTATCCCCCTAATCTGTTCTGTTCTGAGTGAGTGAGTTTAGTTTTACGCCGCACTCAGCAATATTCCAGCTATATGGCGGCGGTCTGTATATAATCTAGTGTGGACCAGCCAATCCAGTGATCAACAACATGAGCATCGATCAACGCATTTGGGATACTATGACATGTGTCAACCAAGTCAGCGAGTCTGACCACCCGATCCCGTTAGTCGCCTTTTAAGACAAGCATGTGTTGCTGGAGATCAATTCTAACCCGGATCTTCACAGGTCGTTCCGTTCTGAACAAAAGGCCAGTAAGGTATAGTTTTATCATATGTTTCCCTGTTCCACGTATCTCTACAATATTCAATGTATTATCTTGACAAGAGAAGGTGACTTTGGGTAGTATAATGGTTGAAGCAATGGATTGTTGCGCTTTATTGCAATCTAAAAAACAACTTGCACGCACAATTGTGGCTTTAAAACTGTGTTCTCTCCTTTCAGAAACAATTCAAGCTGAGGAGTGGCAAAGTTTTCCCACCTCTTCTCCAGGAGGAGTTACCGCCACACTCGAATAAGCGTCCTGTAAGATATTGCTCCCGTGACAACTTCCCCGACGACACATCGCCGACGCGGTCTCTTGGCAACGCCCGGACTCGTCCATCCAAGAGCGGAACACAATCGGAAAAAGATTTTCTGCTGATCCGGAAGTTGATCGAAATGGGAGAATTCCAAAAACCCAATGAGAAACTTCCTTTCAAAAACCGACGTCTCAAGGCCCAAGAGAAGAGAGTCGACACTCCCCAACACCAAAGGCATGCCAAAGACAACACGTACGATCAAAATCCACCTCCAGAAGGGTGCCGGACAGAATCAACTTAGGCCAAATAAAACGAATCTCCATTGCTGACTTTCGACGCACGAAAATGCCCGGATTTCTTAGTTTCGTTTGTCAACGCAAACAGGCACCAGAGAACCTGCTTGAGAAAACACGTTCAATTCACTGTGACCTGTTTGGTCCGGGTTTGTGTCCAGAATGCCAGAAGCTGGAGAACAGGTATGACTTTACCCAGGCCCAGGATGACCTGTTTCCTTACCTGAAGGTCACATCCAGATCCTTGGTCGCGGCTCCTAAACTGAAGAACCAGCTAACTCCAGTCTATGTCCAGGGTAAATGGCATCTTTCCGCGAAGAAGGAGGCTGGGACGAAAGCCCTAGGGAATGTGTACACTCAGCTGGACCTGTACCGCAGAATGGTTAAAGAAAAGGAAGAAAACAAGACTCTGGATCTTATGACGTATGGCTAGATGGTGGTATATTGCAACCGGTATAGACTCTCAGGCCAATGGAACAATGACCATGTGATTCAGGAAGTTAAAATGTAATGTTCAAGACAGTCAATAATAGATTCATGAATGTGCGTCATGGTGAAAGAAGGTATTTGCATATAAGTTCTTCTATCAATGAATATTCTTCGGTTATGGTTGGTTTTTCAGTCTGAACCCAATTTCTGCTTTCTGAACCCAATCAATTTGTTTAAAACACGTATCTCAGAAATCGACTTTGCTAATGTTTTATATTTGCTTAAATTCATTTTTAAAAGAATTCAACGATTTTCAGAAACAAACTGATTTGACATGAAGCAAACAATCTGCAAAGCCATAGAAATGTATTGAGTTTCATTTTGTCAACGTAAACCACTAGGGAAAGTTATGTCCATTGTTCTTGGAAGTGTTTCATAAGCATAAAAGAATAACTGCCCTCGGGCAATTATTTCTATTTAAAAACAATAAAATTGTACTTATTTTGATAATCTTCATCATGCCTAATACATTACATGCATATTAATAAGTATTACCTCGTGGTGTGAGCCGTTTAATCCCCCTCACTGAGGTAGTTATTTAAATAAACTCTACTCGGGCTAAAGCCCTCGCAGAGTTCATTTAAATAACAGGTCACTTATAACGGATATAAAAATACATGATCACGGTTACCATTGATTTTGTGTACACATCATAAATGGATAAGCCGGAAATAAATACACGTGTAAGCAATTACAGTGAGACGTTGATACATAAGTATAATCACGTATGTAACAGGTCACTTGTAACGGAAGGTAGATAACTGTTTATTGTATTCTCAGGAAATCTGTAATTATATATATCTTTCGTTTCATGAATATACGAATGTGTTTACTAGAATTCAGTTAGTTTTGTCTATTTGACTTATACTCTGAAGGACTCGCGGGTATAATTTCGAGAGTGATGATGGTTATAAGTTGGCATCACCGAACTCAATGCTCACCGAACTCAATAATAAATCAATTAATAAATAAAGATGTTTTTCCTGGATATGTAGAATGGAATTCATGATATAAGCACAGGAAAACCTTGTGCAAGGCCTCTGAAAGTACAAGTAACTGAAATCAAGAAAATGATTTGCTTCGACTGTCTCCACAAGTAACAACGATACCAACCCAAACCATATAAATTCGTGTATGGCAGGTTCACCCGGGCGTTTACGTTTGATAGCGTACAGCCCTGATAAACCAGGTTCCACTGACTACTTTGAGTGGCATTTTAGACTGACTGACTGACTGAGTTTGGTTTTACGCCGCTTTTAACAATATTCCAGCAACATCACGGCGGGGGACACCAGAAATGGGCATCACACATTGTGCCTATGTGGGGATTCGAACCAGGGTCTTCGGCGTGACGAGCCAAAGTGGCATTTTAGAAGCTGGGAAGTACAAAATTGACAAACTTTATGGATAACAACTTTTTATTACGAGAGTGCGACGTTTCGATACAGATTCTTGTACCGGTGTCAAGCAGGAATGTAACATGCAGTGGTGGAAGTATATATACTGAGGTTTCACTGTATAAGCATACAGTTGTAGTGATGTAAGTCAGCCTTGTCTGGACATTCTCACTGATCATGTTAAGCATTTGTTGCTTCTCAGATGGGCTCAAATAGTAGGAATTGAGTGTTTTTGACGCCTCTTTTTATATGACGGTGTGTGTCACCTCGATGTGGGAGGAAAGACTGAGGTGATGCAGGGCGTCAGCAGTTACCGCTTTGTTGGAACCTACCGACGGAGACATGGGGCTAACAAACCTAGAAAAATATACAACGCGAAACTAGATTCGAATCCATGATCATAGATTTCTGGGAAGCCAAGGGGAAGCAACTCTGCACCGCGAATTGATTTTATGTGATATAGCTCGAGTACACATTCACTCCACACCCCACTCTTCACCCGTGGAAATATAAGGCAAGGTGACCGTAATGCACTTTCAGAGCCCATGCACTACTCCACTTGTCACAAACAACCAATTTAACATGGAACGTCAACTGATCCAAAATCGTCTGATTGCCAAAGCGGACCTCACGGAGCGTTCTATGTTTTGATGTTTGAAACTAGTGTTCCCCCTAAGCACATATAGGAGGGCGCTGCGCCCTGCCCTTTGATTTTTGCGCCCTGCCCTTTTTGTTTTGCGCCCTGCCCTTGAAACAGAAGTATAAATTGTAAATGACTGTGAACCAAATTATTATTTAGAGTAATTCTAAATTTCGAAAGTACCTATAGTATGCCAACATTTAAACGCGTATATTTTATACTAATTGTGATCAACTGTCGCTGAAACAATATTGGTCATGGCAGGTTGTGAATGAAAACAGGATGATGTACAGCTTGTTCAGCTTGACCTGATCAAGTGAATACAAATGCATTACGTGACCGTGTCACAACTGGTTCGGTCTATTATTGTCAAGCGGTGCACCTTTGTCAGTTGATTGTCATCATGCCCGAACAACCGAGACAAGGTCGCCGTTTGACATTTCTGTGTCGAAAAATCGTCAGCAATGTCCTAACTTTCATTAAAAAAGAAGCTACAGATAGTTTAATGTTTCCGATTCGGACTGTCACGAATCCATGTATACACGCAACATTCTTTGCTCCCCTATTTAATGAAGTTAACTCGACCAGCCGTTTGTGCTCCCAGGTCATGCATCTGTAGAGTAGCTCAAGTCAAACTGAACAAGCTGTAGAGCAAGATTGTATGGTCACATGTGCAAAGCAGTGGCCAAGAAAAATACGTCAATGAAGCGCCAGGAAAAGTAATTCAGAACGGTATTGAAGCGGCCTCTGTTGTGCTGTCCAGGCGAATGATCATTCACAAGTGGTACAAGTGTAAAATATCTCTCTGTGGTGTCAGACCACTTTAATTCATTAATGTCTTCTCCTTTAACACCACGATATGAATTTACCTGTTGTTATTTGTATATGTACCATTTATATCCACAAGTCGTCGTTATAAAGTGATTGTAGCTTTCAGGTATTATTTTTTAAATGTCAGCACTTGACACTTTATGCTAACAAACCTCCGAGGCCATGTTACTACATCAACATGCTCCTATGTCAGATGGCCATAAACGATATGTCAGCGGTTTGCATAGATTACGGGTAACTTCCTAGGATTTTAAAAGTTAATTTATGATAAAGTCACATATACTAGTAGTCATAAAGCCACGTAGCTGTTTGTGAGGCGCTAGAATGTTAATAGTAGCATAACCTTTTTGTCCACAGGGTACCATTCTCTGTTTGGTGAACAGAGGCACCTTTGAACAAACTCATTTGCCCAAGGTGAGGTCACATGTGTCACGTGTGCTTCGTTGTGGGGCAGGGCAGAAATCCCAGAACCTCTCATGAGCCAAGCTGCCAAACGCGGTCACCTATCCAAGGCCTGTCAGTGACGAACGTTGCTTAACTGTCGGGTGTTTCCGTAATAGACGGAAATACGAGTACGTTTTTGTGTTTATATTGCTATTTTACAAACTTTTTGTTCAATTTTAATCACGGAATGTGACTTTTAGAATATCCTTAACAATATATCAAAAGTTTTGTTTTCGTTCGTATTCTCCTTTAACTGGGTACGCCTACAGAACACCGGATACCTACCAGCCATATTGTTTAGTGTCACGTCTCCCTAACCCTAACCCAAACCTAAAATAAACTCGCGTGACTTCAAAGGTGGTGGGAGGTATCCGGTATTCTGTAGTCTTACCCTTAGCTGGGCCTGGGCTGTGCTCAAGACCACACACCACCAATTAGGCACTATTTTACTTTTCTATTCCCATTAACCTGGAAAGAGAAGTCTGCTGTAAACTCACCATATAATACTATAATGGGTTCTTTGGTGTATCATTATGTCGTCCCTGATTTCGTATTATTGCATACATTTTTATGACCATACCCAGTCTGTGAAGTTAGTTTTGTTGATCTCTGCATTTGGAAATAATTGACATCATAATACGTCGCTTACCAAATGAACTGCCATCATTACCCAGTGCCCATCATATGCTTTCATAAAAATGTAGCTTGAGTCAATATGATGTACTAAAGCCACAGGAGACACGAGTATTTTACAGACTGTAGTTATTTGACAAATATCTGGTCATTGGCTGTGGACTTCTACTGCTCCGGTGAAACATGCAAATCACTCACTCACTCAGTCCAAGATAGCTATTTCGACTTCTTTTCCGAATTAAATGGTTTTACTGAACAATCACTCGTAGCTATTCCGCCCACCAAAATCCATACCTTTACTGCAACGTACGCATGCTTCCCTCATGTTGAATCACAATGTTTCTGGGAAACCATTACGAGTGCACACATATTTCAAAAAAGCAGGTTTATTCATTTGAAAAGACATGGCAGAAATGCACTGTTTAATACAGGTTCATATAATCTCAACATCACATCAAAATATCAAGGTTATACAATCTTGCACTGCTGAGCTAGTCGATTTGCCATGATACAGTTATGTATAAACAACCATCGTCCATTTGCTACAAAATATGTAAAACAGTAGACACTACATGTATATAAAACACTAATGCGGATTAATGACTAAATAATAATATCTAGCACCATAGTATAGACAGTCACCGTGTAGTCAAGTGTTCAGCTTATACAAATCTCACGACTATCTTCAGCTGAAATGAAATGAGTATAATATGCAGTCAAATCCTGATCCTTCTCCTAAACGGGAAAATCACCAGTTTAACTGTCGGGTTAGGTCTGTGGCTGAGGTTGGGGCAGGGACTGGAGCAGAGCTTGGGCTGTGCTGGGGCTGGGGCCTGCGATGTAGAGGGAGCTTGGGCTTGGGCTTAGGATTGTGTCTGGGGTAGAGCTAGAGCTGGACTGGAACTAGGGCTTAGGATTAACCGAGGGAAACGAGGCAACTATAAGCACCAGTGTTACCCCATGCATCCACAACTTGTCAATCTGTCAAGGGAGTAAAGATTTGTCATGTTATCCTGTCAGTTTAGGTAATGAGTTTAATGGTGAGTACCAGGCGATACGCCAAGCTGCACAGTCAGGCTTAATGATACAATGGATGACATTACATGTAGTGATGACAACATAACTATCTTTGTTGTAAAATACAGAGAAAATCTCGCGCAGTGAAGAAACAATATTATTCTTAAAGCATATTATTCTGGATCCAAACCCCATTTAACAACATTCTCTTATTAACATAACGGCTCATACAACCGATACGTGTCAGTAGCACCTATTACATCATCATTGAAAGGGACCAATCTGCATGGTCATACAATGGATGACATTACATGTAGTGATGACAACATAACTGTCTCTTTAGTAAGACACTGAGAAAATATCGCGCTGTTGAGAAACTATATTATTCTTAAAGCATGTAATTCTGGGATCCAAATCCCATTTCTCAGTATACTCATTACGGCTCCTACAACCCATACGTTTCAGTAGCACCAATTACACCATCATTGAAAGGGACCTTGCTCAACACCAGGTGAGTTTTCTACAAGTATGACATGATCGAGCACTATAATGTAAGCACATTTGTTAAACCAGTCATCATGACATGAATATGAACACGTTTAGTATGATATCCCCGCTCA